TAGTACACATCTAATGCAAACAAACGCATTACACTGTCATTCATAATTGAATTGAAATTTGTTTTTGTATCATGTCCTTCCTTCCTTTCTCACAGGCTGTTGACTTTAACATATTTGAGGGACTAGAGTGCCACGGTGTCCCTGTTTATGTCATCTCTCGTGGTAAGGTCGTTGTTGATCACGGGAAGATAGACGTGGTCAAGGGGAGTGGCAAGTTTATCCCTCGTAAGCCTTGGACCGACTTTGTGTACTCTAGAGTCCATCAGAGGGACAAGGTGAGAATTAATGGATTTGGTGGTAACGAGATCATTCCTTAATTTATAATCATCACTGTTAGGATGTGATGCACATGTTAACTATAGCTATTTAAAGTGATATATTGCATGTATTTTTCCACAGACGTTTTAGGGAGTAAAAATTGACTTGTAGCTGTTGTTATTTCAGCTCCTGTCATCTGAATGCAAGTGCATTGAAGCTATAGTGAGAAGCAAAAAACCCATTAGTTCCATTGTCATGAAATCCATGACAAGCAAAAATCCCATTGGTTCCATTGTCACGAAATCTGTGACAAGCAAACTATTGCTATACATCACATTTAATCGTAGTGCTGTATTATAATAATAGCATGAGTTCTTGCTAATATGATAAATATTTCTTTTCTTTATTTTTAGGTTGATCAGCCACAAAAGGTTGAGCGTGAGCCTTATACTGGCCCTGTCATAGACCTGAGCAAGAAATAAACCGAGGCCCTCTTGCCTTTGTGGTGAATGAAATAATTTTTCTTTACTTTGAGAATAATTAAAATAATAATAATAGTGTGTGGAAAGTTAACAGTGTAATAGTAAAAATAATTGTAATGATTATTGTTGATCATAATAAAAAATTGTCTTTTTTAAAATTTAAAGTTCTTGAGTGACTCAGCATAGCACTGTATAGTACAGTATAAAGTTTTTGTGGAATATTCTTCACGAATGACACTGGGACGACTGCAGGGAACGCCACACTGTCCGCAGACTGGGCCAGGATCTCTGGCTGTAGAGGACTTGATGCTGGCCTCCGGGCCAATGGCGGGAGTTGCCGGGAAAGGAGAGCAAGCACACATCTTAAGAAACCACCTTCTCTTTTAGCCTGTGTCGTAGAATAGAGTAACGTTTATTGGAGCTGCAGTGAAGACAGTAGACATTGAAGGAGTTCTGGTTTTGCTGCACAATAGACTATAGAATCAGTGAAATTCTGGT